TTTTTTTTTTTTTTTTTTTTTTTTTTTGAAGATATACGATTTTTAATTTCAATAATAAAAACTTTACAACCATTCACCAAGTTTATAATATAATTCCATGAAATATATATATATATATATATATATTTAAGTCGTACACTTATATATAAATGTAAATAAAATTTTATAGAAATTAAATAAATATAAATATAAAAAAAAAGTTGATGTTTTAAGTAAAACGTGTAATAACAATTTTATAAAGAAAAATAATATAAAGACATGTGAGGAACACCAGAACCTAATCCAGCGGAACAAATATAATATTACTCAAAATCTGCCCTTCTGGAAATGCGAGCGAGGTGTCTGTTACACACTTGCAAGCATTTCAGTAGACCTCACTTGCTCCTAAATGGACAAACTCATTAGGCCTATAAATCTCCCAAAACAATCGAATCGGAGGGTTTCTTCTAATCGCGACGGTTTCTGAGGTAACCAACAAGTTCTAATCATTTGTTTTAGTTTATTAAGCATGTCGAGTTTGTTGCAGTCACGGTTTGATTTGTCCATGGCAAGAAATCATTGGGTTTGGATTCAATTTCTTCTTCTTTTTCGGCTTTGGTAGCTGAAATCGCTGTTCTTCTCCATGATTGCCCTAAATTTAGCTTGGTTTCTTATGGTGTACTTTCCCTTTATGTTGTTGTTGTTGTTCTTCTTCTTCTTCTTCCCGAATATTGAATATTGTAACCAGACTTTACAAACCAAACACAACATTCTCTTTGGGAATCAAAATGTGGCAATGAATGTTTGGATTCTCTTGCAATCATTATTGTCTTCAAAAGGGGACCAATTGGTTTCGAGTCGCTCTCCTTTTTTGGGTGTTGTCCCGAAGACCTCGGCCTCTGTCCATGTCTTTTGCCGACAATCTCTTTTGGACCATTGTCTGATGAATTTTACAATTCTCATTCAAATTTGAATGAAAATGACACAACTTTCTCTGACAGTTAAACGGGAGAAGTTTCAAACTCACCACCACTCACATTGCTGGTGGATCAAAAACTCTGATCATTCTTTACCATTCCAACTGTTTGATATTTTGCCGCATCCAATTCTTCACCACCAATTCAATCACAAATCCCATTATTCCATTATTCAAATTCAAGGACCAGAACTTGTCTACGTATGAGAATTGGGAATCATTGAAAACAAATCTTTTTCTTTTCTTTTTTGGTTAATGCTTTGAATGAGAGTTGGAATGTGACGTCTTTTTGTACATCTGTCGTTGTGTCGTGGAGTTCTAACGAGTTTGAATCGACCTGTTCATGTCTCGCATTTACGGTTCAAACTTGTGATGAATAAAGTGAATATCTTTTTGGAAAGAGAATCTGTCTTCTTCATGAAGTATATAGAGAGGGGGAATGATTAAAAGAGATGTGGGGTTGAATGTACTGATGCAAACACTGCATTATATTTGCCTGTAGGGACTCCAATTTCTGTTCCTTTCCACCTTTTTCTCCTTTTTTGAATTATTAATTTCACTGTTTCTTACCCAATCAAAAGCATAAGAATTAGAGAGAGAGGACATTGAGGTTTCCATATATATGTGTGTGTGTGTATATATATACACACACTCACACACACACACACACACATATGCGAACCTCGAAGCCCCTGTGGATATGTTCCATAAAGAAGAGAGTTTTCAGTAGCTATTTCCCTTTGTGTATTTATTAGTATCTTTGAACTGCCGGAATACCTCTGCACATATATTGAGGTAAAACTGCCGGAATGGAGACATCCCAGCCTCTTTCTATTGATAGCTTTTCATATAGTTGGCTAGTGAATATAAAGCCATCTCTAGATAGCTCAGGCAACAACTCCTTTAGGACCTCTCTCGACGCTTCCGATGAAGCCTCCTCCTTCATCGAGATGGACCCGAGAATGCCACCGTCCAAGAGATTTTTTAGGAATTCTCAAGATTTCAAATTTGACTTCCCTGTCTCACCGCCTTCTCTCACTTTTGTACATGCCGACCAGCTGATTTCCAATGGTTGCCTTGTGCCTTTTTTCATTGACCCAGTGAAAGTTCAGAAATATGAGGATGAAGATTTCAATTCAAATTTTCCAAAATCTTCCCATACAGAAAACAACACCCATCCAGCCAATACTTCTGACTGTTCGTCGATGAGAAAGTGTCGGAAACTATCGAAAAAAGTATTGCAGAAGTATTTTAGTTTTTTCAAGCCGTTGTACCAAAGAATCCGAGGCCATAGAGCATCAAGCTCCAAACCAGAACATGTTGGTAGAAGATCCAAATCTATGAAGAATTGGGAATATTCATACGACGCGTCGCCGCGAATAAGTGTAGCTTACTCTGCCGATGATTGGCGAAGATCCTGTGATTCTGAGAGCTCAATCTACGAGGCAGTCCTCCATTGCAAGAAATCTATAGGTATGTGAAGCGTGTTACAGTTTGGTCATCATCATTATCATTATAGTATACTAGTATCTTATATCAAACTCGTTTTCGGGTTCTGATGTTTATTCAAACCTTTGGTATCAACAGGAGGACGAGATTGAGTAATTTCAGACGAAAAATCTGGAGGAAGGTGAAAGCAGAGAAGATGATAAAACAAAAGAGCAATCGAAGACAGAGAAGCATAGAAGAGAAAAATGAGACATGAAATGATAACATCCACTAAGCTTTTTGTCCCTTTCGTCTACTTTTTTTCTTGGATTCAAATGTACCATTCCATTTTGTCTGTGATGAAAATTTCAGACCTTACAGAGGAACAGGAAAGGTGACCATAAATTTTGTTTGTCCTCAACTGTTATGTAATAAAAATCCTTTAACAAGGGAACGCTTGTTTCGGTATGCCCGTGACCGAGCGAGCAGGTTCCTCGAGGTAAATACTCAAATGCCAATGCCAAATGAAATTGATTAAGATGGATATCATTTTTGTTCTTTACTTTGTTCATATTTCTAATGAATATGAATATATTGCTGCAGGTTCAGACTGATATGAATATATTTGCCCTTTCTTGACAGTGAACTGATCTAAAAGACTTGGTAGCTATTGAATGAGGTTAGAGGGAAATTGTGGTGGTGGGGTCCCCTAAGTTGCTTTTGTTAAGCAAGGAATCCTTATCAATGTTGTCCTCTTTTCATTTGCACATGAAACCACTCCCAACTTGCTTTTTCATTACATGTTCTTTGTTCACAATAATTGTTGGGTTTTGTTTCTTCAATTCACCATCATTATATCTACTTATACTTTCTTGTTTATCCTTATATCTACTTTCTTGTTTATCATTATATCTACTTTCTTGTTTATACCGAAAATAGCAAGTATCTACTAGCGGTGGACTTGAGCCGTTACAAAGAGATTCCAAGATGACCACCTTTGGAGACCATGATATTGACTCTCAACTATGAAGTGTATGAAGATTTTCTTTTATTAGTATAGTTGTGACAGAGATTCTAGGAATTAAAAAACAAAGTTTTTATATCATTTCTACCAATCTTAATATCGATGGTGTAACAGTAGCCTGTTACGTATCGCCATCAGCCCAATAATTTTAAAATTCCACATCCATATAAGAAATGTGTGTTCCCCTCTCTTGCTGGCAACTGACTGTGTTACCATTTATAACAGACTGAATCTACCGTTAGCAGATATTGTCCACTTTTGTTCATTACGTATTGACATCAGTCTCATAGTTTTTAAAACGCGTCTACAGGAATAAGTTTTCACACCCTTTAAACTAAACTAAGTAGATTTTATTAAGATACAATCCTAACATGTATTACCTACTCACTAAGAAATCCAATTTATAAAAACATTCCATATCACATTCTTTATTACATAAGAGCAAAACAATAAAGAGCAAAACATAATTTACATAAATTTAATAACTTATAATTATAAACATATCAAAGCAGACAAAAGTAAATACAACCAAAATAGACTCGGGTCTATGTAAGATCTCTGGAGTCTCCAGCTCGGCTATCGTCTCGATCACATTATATCTGTTGAAAAGAAGATAATAAATGGTTCATTTAATTAAAATGTTAGACAGTAATCCATCAAAATGAATCTCAACAATCGATAAACTGTCCAAAGCTGAGCAAACTGATGGATGACAACAGAAGCAATCATAAGAGTTGGACCAAAAATCAGTATCCCTTGGCTCCAAATTCAAAACGAGAATGCCTTCCAGCTCTGCTTCGTTCATACAAAACAGAATTTTTACTTTTCATCAGCACAAAAGTTTCATCAACACATTCGTGCTACCAAGTAGCAACTTCATCTTGCAAACCACAGTTGAAATTTTAGTCTGAAAGAAGTGTTTTTGAACAACACCCACTATCTTAGGCTAAAAGAGACAAAACCCCATCTTTTTAGTTATACAGTATCTGGCTCACATCCTCTCTCAACCACGGAAACTTCAAAACTAGAAGGGCACTTGGATCGAGGGAAACCAATGTATCTTCGACCGGACGTATGCATACTTTAGCACTTGAATTTAGCTTTTTGGTGGCAGGCAAACGATTCAGAAAAGTGGTTAACTCTTTAACTTTTCTCGCACAAAGCTAATAAGATTCAATGGAACTGTTTGATATGCATGAATTTTAGTCACATCGCAAGCCACTGAAGCATCCTCAGACCAAACTTTCAGTTTCATCTCTGGGCATAATGATGAACATGGGCTCCATTTATGCTCATGTGTCTGCTGCAAAATTGTAGCTTTCAGTTTTTGTGTGCTTCATATTATAAACAGTCATTCATGAACATTCTTGAATATTTAAGGCTTTTGGTAGGTCATTTGAATACATTAAATCCATTACCAAACCCGAAAAGGCCGAAAACTCAGTTCAGAATGGGCAACCATTTTAGCCATATCCTCAAACAGTCTGTTATTAGAAACCTTATCTTTTTCTGAGTACCAACAAGATTTGCCTGGTCCTTTTCACTTTGTTAATGCACCATTATTGTCTTCGTATTTGGAAACTTCAGAAGTACCTACTCCATGCAGAAAAGCTCTTAAACACTAGAGGATAATTGTGCCTAGAAAGCAAAAAAGAGTATTAAATCTTGGTTGGAGAGGAGAAAGAAACATTTTTTTATACGAGTGTGGAAACTTCTTCCTAGCAGACGCGTTTTAAAACTTTAAGGGGAAGTCCGGAAGGGAAAGCCCAAAGAGGGTAATATCTACTAGCGGTGGATTTGGACCATTACAAATGGTATTAGAGCTAGTCACCGGACGATGTGCCAGCGAGGAGGTTGAGCCCCGAAGGAGAGTGGACACGAGACGGTGTGCTAGCAAAGATGTTGGGCCCCAAGGGGGGGTGGATTGGGGGATCCCACATCAATTGGAGAAGGAACGAGTGTCAGCGAGGATGCTAGGCCCCGAAGAGGGGTGGATTCTGTAATCTTACATCGGTTGGGGAGGAGAACGAAACATTCTTTATAAGGGTGTGGAAACCTCTCCCTAGCAGACACGTTTTAAAACCTTGAGGGGAAGCTCGAAAGGGAAAGCCCAAGGAGGGCAATATCTTCTAGCTGTAGATTTGGACTTTTACAAATGATATTAGAGCCAGACACCGGATGATGTGCCAGCGAGAAGAGCTCGAAAGGGAAAGCCCAAGGAGGGCAATATCTTCTAGCTGTAGATTTGGACTTTTACAAATGATATTAGAGCCAGACACCGGATGATGTGCCAGCGAGAAGGCAGAGCCCCAAAGGGGAGTGGACATGAAAGACGTCGGGCCCTGAAGGGGGGTGGATTGGGGGACCTCACATCGATTGGAGAAGAGAACGTGCCAGCGAGGACGCTGGGCCCCAAAGAGGTGGATTGTGAACTCCCACGTCCGTTGGGGAGGAGAATGAAACATTTTATATAAGGGTGTGGAAATCTCTCCCTAACATATACATTTTAAAACCTTGAGGGGAAGCCCAAAGAGGGCAATATCTACTAGCGATGGATTTCAAGTGTTACAAATGGTATTAGAACCAGACACCGGACGATGTGCCAACAATGAGGCTAAGCTCCGAAGGGGAGTGGACACGAGGCGACGTGCCAACAAAGACGCTAGGCCCCGAAGAGGGGGGGGGGGTGGATTGGGGAATCCCACATTGATTGGAGAAGGGAACAAGTGCCAGTGAGGACGTTGACCCTGAAGAGGGATAGATTGTGAAATCCCATGTCGGTTGGGGAGGAGAACGAAACATTCTTTATAAGGGTGTAGAAACCTCTCCCTAGTAGACACGTTTTAAAACCTTGAGGGGAAGCCCGGAAGAGAAAGCCCAAAGAAAACAATATCTACTACCGGTGGACTTGGACTCTTACATACTCTTAGTCTACGAGAAAAGAAAAAAGAACAAAAAAAAAACCGAGTAGACTAATAAATGGTTCCCACCTCTCCCAATGTTTCCCAAAAGACCGTTCAAAGAAAACGAGAGACCTGACCAACAATTTGGTATTTAAACAGATCCAATCCTGCTTTTTTGTTAAACAGTGATTGACTTTTAGCTAATGGACTAAAAATGTTGCCTAAGAATGAGAAGTTTGTCACATGTCTATAGCAGGAAGGAGGAGACATGGACAAAGTATGCTAGGACAAATGACAAAGTATGATAGAATTACCTCTCTGTCTCTTTCTACTAGTTTTTGCCAGCCTTGTTGGATTTTCTGCTTTTCGACCATGGAAGCACAGTGATGGATGGCCTTTATAAGTTTTGTTCTTGTATCGTTTCTATATTGACATTTTCCGTGGGGACCGAGACTTCCCACATGCAACCTGTCGTTGCGAGTCATCCTCCAGTCACTATAGTTGCTAACAAGACAGACTAGCTAAGCCATAAATATGCATATTTTTGCCAGTTAAGTTGTGGGGTTCCCTTGATAGCGTCCTTAAGCTATGGAGGATTTATGAGACAATGATAACTAAAGGTTAAAACCCATCCTATTGGCATAGCATTGAACACCTTTAGGTATCAATGCAAATCCTTTACCCCAAGGAAAGAAAAATTCAATCCAATTCAAGATCTTTCTGTTCACAAAGCTAAAGCAAGCTCGGATTTTTCCCGACATGAATGTCAAATAATTGAGCTCTACATCAAGTTGAAGTTCATGGCATGAACGTTACGGTATGCAAATCCTTTGTAGGGAATGAGTTCTAGGAAAGTTAGAAGAAACTGGTCTGTGCTAAAGCCAGTCTCCATGAGTTATGTCTGAGGATTTTTGAAAAATCCTAGGAAGCTTCATTGCACTACTGCAGCAATGATGCTGACGAACTTTTCGGGTGTAGATAAATTACTCAAACCTTGAATGCCGTGTGATAGCAACCTTGGATCTGTTTTACATCACAAGGAACTGGTGGATGCCACTTTTGTGAATGGCGCCATGTTCAGATTTTGAATCCATTCTAAATAAAATGTTCATTTGAGACATTATGCTGAGTAAGCTAATGAAGAATAGAAATTTTGAATTTTCCAATCCTCAGAAACTGATCCCAAGAGTTGTCTTGCTGTTTTTCTTTTCCTTCTCTCAACTTGATGGGAGGGAGATCAAACTAAACATAATTCATAGTGCGAAAAGAAGGAAGAGTCCATTCTAATTTTTAAGGCACTGTTTGATAATAATTTGTTTTCTCGTGATTTCTTTCAATTCACTAATGGTTCGATCACGAAATTCACTTCTTCCCACTTCCCACTTCATATGTTGCAAAACTAGCTCCCAGGTCGCTTGTATTTAACATACATGATAGATGATGGAAGTTAAAAGATTTCAGTCAAACCTTTTTACATGCTTCCTAGAAAAATTTTCAAGAGGTCACCTAATGTAAAATTGTTCCAAGTTCGCTTAACTTCAAGATTCCTATGATTTAGTCACCGAAAAGGAAGGTATCTTCTTAGTACAAATAATATTTATTAGCAATACTAGCATATTCTAAGGATCTCTCTTTCGAACGTGGTTTCGAACATTTATTGATTTTTTTTTTTTTTTAAGAACTCTAGTACCAGAGCACATCAGAAGATTGGACTGGCTCATAATGTTGTGGTTTATGAATTTAATTTGAAACTGAGTATTGAGCAACAACGGAGAGATATGAAGGTAAGCCTAACCAGACAAAAATGCCACATAACCTAATCCTTCTTCTTCTCTTTAAGTGCCCCCATCGGGATTTTACTCAGAACTTCGGCGCTAAATACAGCATACTGCTTCTTGACCTCTATCAAAGCCTTCTCAGCAAATGCGTCAACCTGGTCATCATACTTCTCATATAGCACTGGCACAGTGTGTAGCAATACAACGGCTGTTTTTCAAGCATCAATAAGCACATCAATATATCATTATGTAAGCACCTAAATGCAGGCGATTTGGTAATTTCTCAGCGAAGATTGAAAGAGTAGTCCTTACATGTGTATAACAAGGTCAGAAAATTGCACCAGCTTCCAACCATTGATAGAACCCATAAGCCAATAAAAGCCTGTTAATGGTATAAAACATCCTCAGCAGCATTACCAGATTAGTAAATGAACCAATTGATGAAAAATGAAGTTTCCTATAGATGATCGAGTCTAGAAATATTTCCTTTACTCAGGAGATAGTAACAGTGAACGTACACGGAGGAATTTCTTCAAATCTCTCCCAGAAGCAATGTTACGTAAATTGGAGATTACATGGTTGATTTCGATTCTCAGTGCAGAGACAACCTCGAGTAGACGATCTTCAGGAAGTCTAAAATCTGGGATTTGCGGTGGGGACCTGTACAAAGAACACGAAAAATATATATATATAAAAAAAAGGGCGAAACAGGCTATTTATTGCATTAGATTTTGCAAGTCGAAGTCCTTACTTGTTGATAAACGAACTGGCATAAGACCGCGTGAAAACTAGAGCCAGTACAAGAATTAATATATGGCATACGAGAGTGATTAATTGGTACTCAAGCAACTCAAAAAGAATCCACAAGGCAGTGGCACCCCCAAGGATGCCTGCAGAGTTCTTCTTGTTCCTCCAAAGAAGAACATCAGCAGCTGCAACCGGAAGTAACCATAACTTATAAGAAAAGGTCCCTCACGGATAAAGACAGCAAACCGGTGAGGGGTAAAACAACAGAAATTTGTTTTCTTAGCACACCAATCTCAAGGTCACAAATTGGAACCTCCTACCTCTTGGTCAAGAGCCTATGTCAATACTCATTGGCACAGATTATGAAGCCATAACGCTAATAACCTAAGGTTTTCATCCATAACTTGATTGAAAGAAAAAGAGAATACTCTCCGTTTTAACATTGGACAATCACTCAATCTCTGATGTAAGAAGCAACTCTTCTTTTAGAAAATGCATAAGAAAATTTATAGAAATCAGTCATCGTTTATGCGATCCGTTTGGATTTGTTTTTCTCTTAGTACCATTTCATTCAATCAATGAAATTGTTTCCTTCAAAAAATAGGGCAAAAAACATTGGACAGTCATCCAATCGAACGAAAAATGGCAAGAACTCGCGCAAGCACATCTCGATTATAACAATGTAGAAAGACAGAAAGGAATTTGATAGGTAAGAATGACAAACAGAGCATGATCCAATACTTATATATCCGTAAAATCTTCCATTAACCGATCAATCACGATAAAGACAGAGATAGAGATTAGGATCAGAGAGTACGTTTTCCACCGCCCAAGACCGTGTGAACGGGCTTATCTCTACCGAAGAGCCTAAAAACGTGGGATTTTACAGCATTGATTTTTGAAGGGTGGCCATCATCAGAGCCGGAGGAAGAGGAAGAATTGTAGCCGTCGATCTTACCGGAGATCTTGTTAATAACCGAATCCAGCCCGCCTGGTTGGTCAGCCATGGATCCTTCAGGCAAAATTGAAGAACAGAAAATGGAAATGCGAGAAAGAATCGTCTCCGAAGCAGAGACGAGAGACCAGGTATGAGTAGAGAACGCGAAATGCAAAGAGAGGGAAATGCAATATGAGCTATTTATAGTTAATGTGCGTGGAGAACTAGACGACCAAAAAACATCAACCTTGAATCTTCAACGTTGATTTAGCGGAATTCCATCCAAGAGGTCGAGAGATAATTTAAAGAACTATACTTTAAATTTAATTTTAACTTAATCAATATCCATTTCAATCAAATCTTATATATTTTAAAAATAAATTAAAAAGTTTTTCAAAAAAATAAATACTATTAAAAATAGTTAACAGCAAAAAGAAAAAACAACAGATATGGTCTCCCCAATTCAACAATCTGACAGGCCCATACTTATCCAGGCCCAATAGGCCCATAGACAAAACTCTGCCCCAAATGTTCAAAGGTCAAACCTTTTGAAGGAAAAGAAAAGAAACAGAACAAAAAACCTTGGACTCCACACAACATCAAAAGCAAAGCTAGCAAACAAAGGGAACAAAAGAGAGCCTATGGGTCAAATAACGAGCTCGCCGCTCTTCCCTATTTATTACTCACTTTATCAGATTTCCATTTAGCCATTAAAAGCAAAGCTCCCTCTTTCTCAAATACATACGTTGATATCAATAAAATAATAATAATAATAATAATAATAATAATAACCTTAATATTATCAAAATAATTTTTTTGATGATAAAAATTTTAATGGGATATTGTAGTGTTTAAAGTCATTTTAAAGTAACCTTATATTTAAAAAAAATATAAATAAATTATATTTTAAAGGAATAAGAATTGAAATGGAAATGAAGTAAATGTTCGGTTAAAAAAAAAATAAAAAAGAAAATAATTTTTACCTGTTCTTGTTTCATTGTTCATTCATTATCTCAAAGTTCTCAATTTATTTTGTAGGCTTTTTTTTCACTTTTGTCTCTCATCTTTTTGGAAGTTTCTCTTTACCAGCTCTCTCGACGCTTTAGTTTTCAAAGGCATCCCTTTAACCCTATACCAACAACCATACAACTCCAACTTTTTCTTATTTATTTATTTATTTTCTTTTTATTATTATTCCTCTTTGCTTTCTCCTCATTCCCTTTCCTTTAAATGCTCTTTTTCTTTTTCTTTTTCTTTTTCTTTTTTCTCCCTCTTTTTCACCACCTTCAAATATCATGCCCACATGAACACCTCTTTTTTCACTACCTTTGAATATTATACTTTCACAAATGGAAAAAAAAAAAAAAAAAAAAAAAGA